GAAAGAAAGAAGCATAGTAGGAGAAAGGGAGGGTTTCAGCACTGACATAGGCCGTTAGGGCTAGAGTGGAGGAAATGAGTAAAAGTTATCTGGGCATGTGAATGTGTGGGGTGGTGTGTATGAATATAGAAGGGCTTTGTCAAAACAAAGTATCTGCTTCTCAATTTTCAGTTGGTGGTTCGGTCCTTGCTCCAAAGCATCAGCCAAGTGTGGTACAGGCACAGCCTGGAATTGGTGCAACCAGGAATGAAGGGCTTAGTGAACAGGAAAAAGGAGAGTCACGGTGGAGGCAAAAGCAGATGGAAGTTTCAGACATCAGCAAAAGTCAGGAGTGCTTGGCAGAATCTAAGCTCCTGAAGAATTCCTGAGGTTTCTGGTAGGGATGCTGGGTGTCCTACTGTAACAGGAGACACGTGGCTGGGTCCTTTTAAGTAAATTTTGAGAGGCAAGGTGCACTCATCAAGTTGAAAGACGTGGAAGATATCCAAGAGGCTGACATCTGGGGCACCTGTATCACTCATTTTCCAATGGGTTCCCATTGCCCTTGGAAAAAAAACTTCTCCCCACAGCCTAGAAAGCCCCAAGTGATCTCCCCCCCACCACTTTTTCCTGACTCCTCTCTTAGCACGTTCCTCTTTGCTCCAATCATAGAGTGCCCTTCTCTCTGGCCCGTCTACAGCTCAGGCTAAATCCCCACTGAGGGATTTGGAATGTGTCTCCTCAAACCTTTTTGTGGCCAAAAGGTTCATGGCCACCTTCCTCTCATTACTGAGGCCCAACTCAAGCCTCACCTCTTTGGAGACCCTCCCTCACCACCCAGTCCCTAGCAGGACAGCCTGCTTTACGTTCTTTAGAGCACTTATCAGTAGCTCAAATTCTTTCGACTATTTTTTTAAGTTATTTATTTATTTTGAGAGAGAGAGAGAGAGAGAGTGCCTGTAGGCAAACCTGTGCATGAAGGGGGAGGGGCAAAGAGAGGAGAGAGAGAGAGAGAGAGAGAGTGAGAGAGAGAGAGAGAGAGAGAGAGAGAGAGAATCCCAAGTAGACTCTGTGCTCCACGCTGAGCCCAATGTGGGGCTCGATCTCACAACTGTGAGATCATGACCTGAGCCGAAATCAAGGGTCAGACACTTAACTGACTGAGCCACCCAGGCACCTCTCTCTCAACTATTTATATGTTCAATGGCTTATCACTGGTCTTCTCCTCTTGAAGGTAATCCCTGTGCCACGCAGACAGGAAGCTGCTTTAGATTTCTTCTTGCTCTGGAGCCCCAGAGCACGACACTGTGCTTGACCTAGCACACAGGTGCTCCAGAAATATTTGCTCATGTCCTCCATTCACCCAACAAATATTATTTGAGCAACTACTATGTGTAGTCCTGTGCACGAAGTTGGGCACGACAGCCCCAGCCGCAGCCCACTAAGGCCCCCTGAGCTAGGAGAGGAGACAGCCAAGTCAGCAGTCTCAGCAGGGGTGAGTGCTGTCCCCGGGGAGGTACAGGGTGCGATGTTGGCTGCTTCTAGTCCAGACCGAGAGGAGGTGGTATCAGAGAAGGCCTTCTGGAGAAAATGAAAGCTGAGACATGAGGCTAAAAAGAGTTGACTCAGGGGAAGGAGGGGAGAGGGTGACGCGTATCCCAGGCAGAGAGAACAGCATGTGCAGAGGCCCGGTGGGAAGAGAGCCCAGACATTAGAGGAATTGAAAGTAGTTCAGCCTGGCGAGATCCTGGCAGCAAGTGGCAAGAGATGATGCCGGAAACGCAGGCAGAGCCAGCCTGGACAGGACCTTGCAAACCGAGCTCAAGAGTTGAGGAAGAGCACTGGGGAGCCATGGGAGGGGTTTGAGCAGGGGAGTGGTACCATCGGGGTTGTAAACAGCTCACTGTTCTTGTGGCATGGGGAACAGGCTAGAGACGGGGAGACAGTGAAGAAGCCGTAGTAAGAAATGGGGGGGACGGAGAGAAGTGAACAGATTCCAGCAAGGTTTGGGAGATAGAATCAGTAACATTCGGTGACTAATTGGTTTTGGGGGGTGGAGATTGTTGGGGATAACACCCAGGTTCATGGCTTAAGCTAGTGGTTGGTAGTGCTACTTACCAAACAGGGAAACCCAGGTTTGTGTCGTTCTTGTTGTTTTGTTTTATTTTAGAGAGAAAGAGCACGAGTGCATAAGTTGGGGAAAAGGGCACAGGGAGAGGGAGAGAGAATCTTAAGCAGGCTTCACGCTGAGTGTGGAGTATAACGCAGGGCCCAATCCTACGAACCATGAGATCATGGCCTGAGCGGAAACCAAGAGTCAGACGATTAACCAACTGAGCCACCAGGCGCCCCACTTACAAAGATTTGTTTCTCACTCACTCTAAGCCCATCTTGAGTCAACAGAGGCTTTGCTCCAGGTGGCCCTCACTCAGGGACACAGGTTGATGGGGCCTCCACTCTCTGGAACATCACTGGTCACCCTGAAGGAAGGAATGTGGCAAACTGTGCTCAGGTCCTTGAGGGCTCCTCTATGAGGGGTACTTCCATTCACGTGTCATTGGCCAAAGCGTGTCACAGGGCCATGCCTCACTTTAAGAGGGCAGGGAAGTACAAGTCCACCGTGTGCCAGGAAGGGGAGTATTGGACATGTTGGTGACCAGTATTGAGGCATCAAAATCTTAGGCTTTAAGGGGACACCTGGTGGGCTTGGTGGGTAAAACATGTGACCCTTGATCTTGGAGTCATGAGTTCAAGCCCCACACTGGGTGTAGAGCTTACTTTAAAAAAATAGAGAAATCTTAGGTTTTGTCATGGGAAACCCTGAGAAACTTGGACAAATCAGTTTCCCTCCCTGAGCCTCAGTTTTCCCTGTCTGTAAAAGGGGGCGATGTTACTTCTCTTGCAGGGCTGCTATGAGGGTTAATGGGCAGAGCATTGGTACTGATGAAAGCACTTTGTTTAGATGCGAAAGAGGAATCCAGGGATGGGAAGCTGTAACACTTACTTCTCAGGATGAAGGAGACACACACTTGAATGTGGGCGTGGCCGCAGTGGCTAAGTGGATCTGAGCGTGCTGCACTCAGATCTGGGGGCTACAGGCTGGCTGGTCCCTCTGCCCCGACTCCCTGAGTCCTTAAGTATTTTCATTCCTTTCGTTGCTCAGATCCTCATCCTTCCAATGACACTGTGGGTCTTGGAGCTCCCTAACAAATGGAGACAAAGCCATTACTGCCAAGTGCTGATGGACTTTGGAGCTCAAGTGTCTGCCTCACTCCTTGGCTGGGAGCCAGGACCCGGGTATGGAGCCTGTGGGAGGCAGAATAATGCCCTCCCCCCAACCAAGATGTCTATGTCCTAATCCCTGTAGCTCCTGAACAGTGTTATTTTAAATGGCTAAAGGGATTTTGTAGATGTGGTTAAGTTAAGGACCTTGAGATGGGGGGGAGTACCCTGGATTATCCAGGGTCTAATATAATCACAAGGGGTTTCAGAGGATGGAAGAGGGAGGCAGGAATGTCAGGAAAGGAGATGAGGCGGTGGAAGCAGAGGTCCAAGTGATACAATTGTTGGCTACAAGGAGGTCACGAGCAGGCATGGGAGGCAGGCAGCCTCTAGAAGCTGGAAAGGTAAGGAAACGGATTCTTCTTTAGACTCTCCTGAAAGAACAGCATCCTGCCGAGACCTTGAACTTAGCTCAGGGAGACCCATTTCAGACTAGCGACCCCCCAAAACTGTAGAATAATAAATTTGTGTTGTTTTAAGCCACTCAGTTTGTGATAATTTGGTACAGCAGCCATAGGAAACGAGAGAGCCTGTGTGCTGGACGTGGAGGGCAGAGGCTTGACCAGGACAGTTGCTAAACAGGCAGGTCACCTACCCTGGGGCTGAGAGGGGCTCTGGCAAGATCGCCCACTTCTTTCTGCCCCTGGAGCTCCAGGTGAGGTGCCCCAAGAGCAGCCCCCAGGGACGCCCCTGTGCTGCTTTGCTCTTATCTCCCTGCTTTTTCTTGAGTATTGCTCTAGTGCCTCTCCCACCTTGCAACGTGTCTTGGAGCAGACCCTTTCCTTCTGCAGGCCTTAAGTTTCTCTATATGCAAAAGGAAAGCAGGGGTGGGCTTGGGGACCCTCTGGGGCCTTACAGGCCTCATACTGCGAGTCAGCACTTCTAAGACTGTGCGGGCCTGCTGAGAGCTCTCTGATGATGCTCTTGCACGGCCCTCCATCCCCGAGCCGGTTTCCTCCAGAGAGTTCTAACCAGTCTTTGCTGCTGCCACAAATGATACACTTGTGCCCGCAAGTAAAAAGACAGGGGTGGGGGGTGGGGGGGGAACAATGCTTTATTGACTTGGCACCTATAAACAGGTGGCTACAGGCCCCCAGGGTTCTTCGCTACTGCAAAGTGGAGGCTCTGTGGTGGGGGCAGCATAAATCAGAGATGTTGGTTCCAGCTGCAGGGAGGGGCCGCTGTCCCTGCTTTGGCCCCTCCAGTCCCCTTGTCCAGCCAAGCACCATCTGAGTCTGGGCCCTCACGGAGAAGGCCAGGGCAACAACCCAGGTTCTTCTGCAGCCACAGGCAGTCTAAGGTAAGAGCTGTGGGTCTCTCCTGCCTTCCCTCTTCTTGGGGCTCCCAATATGGGTTGGGGAGAGGGGGGATACTCCATTTATAGAGAGCCCCTGAGCCTCCTGGACCAGGGTCCAGGAAGGCAGGGTCAGGTGTTGTAACAGGAGCCCCACCAAAGAAAACAGTTATGAGTCCTTCCCTTCCCCCCATTTTATATTCTGGCTGAGCAGCAAGTGGGAACTCTTACTGAATTGGGCCCACAATAATTGGTGACAGGTGATGTCACCTGGGTGGAGCCAGGCTCCCCCATGCAGGACCACACTCTCTGAATAGGCTCTCTCCCAGGCAAGAGGAGGGAAGGGCAGAGTGAACTGAAGTTGTCAGAGGAGGAGGGCTTCCTGGAGGAAGAGGGGCAGGCCACAGCAGGCTCCCAGAAGAGATGGTCTGCAGAATGGACTGGGTCACAATGGCTGGCACAGGACACTGGCGTCTTCACTGTGGTCACAGTTGTGGGCATCCCAGCGGATGTGAGAGCAGAGCAGAAGGGCACTCTCGTCCCCACGGCACTTGACATTGTCCAGGAGGATAGGGCCTCGGCCCGGGCCGAAGTGGGCCTCGCCGGGGGCTGCCAGGGCCTGGCCACAGCCCAGCTGGTGGCACAGGACAGTGGCTGCCCGCAGGTCCCAAGCGTCATCGCAAACAGTGCCCCACCGTTGCCCTAGGAAGAGTTCTACGCGCCCCTCACATTGGTGGGCTCCATTGGCCAGACGCAGGTGCCCTGTGGAGAGACAAGGCCCAGGGCTGGAAGGGGCTGGCCCATGCCAGGCCATGAAAGGGGTAGACAGAAAAGGCAAAGGGTAGTGATGTCAGACACAGCATTGCTCTGGGGGCCGATGGACAAGGGCAGATAAATCAGGTTAAAATAAGCTGGGTGGCAGTCTAGACTCAGTCTCTGGACTGGAAGAATGTGTACGAGCCTTTGTGGGGTGCTGTGTCCCTGCTGAGTGCTTCATGTCTGCTCTTTCCTTAGTCCTCTGTTCATAACCCCAGACCCTCAGCCCCAGTGCCACTCTCTGGAGACTGTGCTTGTGTCCCCTGGAGGTTATCATCTCCCCTCACCCACAGGCTTAAAATTGAATTCTTTCCTTTCATCTCTTCAGGAAGGAGCCCCTTATTTTGATCCCATCTCTAGAAATCTCTAAGATTGCTCCCTTAAAACCCACTTCCCTCTTCTGGATACCATACCCTTATTAACGAGAACAGAGACTAACACAAAACAAAGGTTCTCAAACCTGGTACAAATCTGCTGAGCTGTGTAACCTCAGGCTGTGATCTCCCCCAGTTCTGGTCCTTCCGATCCTAACGCCTCTACTTCCATCTTTGGGGCTGTGGGCACCTACCGTCCCTGGGCTTCAGGAGTGGGCAGGAGGTCTCAGGGTGGTCTCTGCTGGACTTGAAGTCCTAGCTCCTCTGGGCCTGGCTCAGCAAGGACAAAGAAAAAGAGGTGGCTGTCACATTAGGGAACATGTTCCTTGAGGCCAGGTTACCTTCTACCCTCCCAAGGGGAGCCTGATTAAGGGACAGGAAGGGCCTCACAGGACCCTGAAGGAGAACTGCTTTCTGCCACTTGGATCAGAAATGGGGTTGTGATTCTTTCACCCTGGAAACCAAAGTAGGACCCTTTGTAGCTACCCCTTTGTGGCCAAGGCTCCTAGGCCAAGGGCACCAAAGGAGGGTGAAGATCTCATTTCCCACACCAATCAATAAACAGGAGCATTTTAAAATAGGTCAGACTCTACAAACACCCCTTTCCATTGATTCTCAAAGGTCAGACGCTTGCTCCCCGAAAGCTGATCAACTCTGCTTCCTAGAGCTTTGCGGGTCCTTGACTCAGCAGATAGAAAGAGACCCTGCCCCTTCCTTCACACAGATTTCCAGACTTTGTCCCTAGCTTTTCGCCTCTCGCCCTCCCCTCACTGCCGCAGCGGGCGCGCCCGCCCCAAGCCCTACCCCCCTCTCACTGCAGAGGGCGCTCCCTTCCCGGCTCCGCCCATGCTGCGCAGCCGCAGCGCGCGTCTATGGTCGGGCTCCGCCTCTCTGCGGAGTGCGCGTCCTCTCCAGCCCCTCTCACGCTGCAGTGCCGCAGAGAGCCCTCACGCACGGCCCCGCCCATTTCTCAGAGGCAGCCTTGCCTGCGCCGCAGTACGCGTCTGCGGCGCCCCTGCCCGCCATTCCCGAGGTGCTGCGCGGCCCCGCCCGCGCGGCAGTGCGCGCCTCTGCGCGGCCCCGCCGCCACCTCACCTGAGCAGGAGCGCGCCGGCATCTTCGTGGTGGCCGCAGTTGCTATTGTGCTGGCCCAGCCCGGTGGGCTCAGTCGCTCGGGTGGGCCTCCGTCCCGGCGCAGCCCACGTTGTTCAGCAGCACGGGCCGCGCCCGTAGCCGAAGTGGCCGAGGGCCCGTGGCGCCAACGCAGGCCCGCAGCCCGCCTCGCGGCAGGCCACACGCGCGTCCGCGAAGTCCCAGTCATCGTCGCACACGGTGCCCCAGCCCCCGGCGTACATCACCTCCACGCGGCCGCGGCACGGGCCCGGACCGCCCACCAGCCGCAGCCGCCCGTCATATGCACAGGTCTGAACCCGTGGCCATAGGGGCTGGGCTGGGGCCGCTGGTTCCGGGACAGAGCCCCGGCCCTACCCCTCTCCCACCCCCACAGGACCCTGGCTCTGCCACTTACTTTTCTTCCCCGCGACCCAGGTGGCTGTGGTGAACAGTGCCATCTCCCTGGAAGGCAGGGCACCAACTCCTGTAGCTGCAGAGACAGGGCCTCTAGAGCATGTGAAGGGGACGAGGAGGCCTTCTGGCCTACAACAGGGCACAGCGATGCCTGGGCTTGAGCCCCAGCTGTACCACACCTGCACCCCACACTCAGCCTCAATCCTAGTGTCGCCGTGTAGTCCGGTGTGGTCCTCAGGAAACTTGATTGGAATGAACCGAATCCTGTTTCCAGGCATTATTCTAATTTGAATCTCAATGATAGTTCCAGACGGGATTCCCAATGTGCTTCTAGCTTTCATTCAACCTTTAGCTCAACCCTCTCACAAGGTCTCTCGATTTCCAACCTCAGCACCCACCCAAATTGTACCTCAGAGCTTTGAAGAAATCTCTTACTGTCTCCTCCCACCTTGCTGAACTTTTCAGAGCTCTGGATTTCATCCTTGCTCCATCTGCTCGTGATTCTCTCGCCCACCTCTTTACCATCGGGCGGAAAGTCCTGGTCAGCTAGCCAGGGCCGCCTTCCAGTAGATCCAGAACAGCCTTTCTATTTCCCAGCCCTGTCTGCCTTGTCCCTACCATTCCAGCCCAGAAGGCTGGGCTCCTTACCTTCTGGCTCTGTGTGCCAGGCCCAGTCCTCTCTTGTGGCCAAGGGTGGTAGTGTGGTGAGAGTCAGGGGGCCCAGGACTAGAGCAGGAGAGAAGGGAGCAGCGTCAGAGGCCAAGGTTTTGGTTCCGGGTCAGCCTTGTGCCATCAGGGGAGGATGGGAGGGTCTCTGTGGAGAGCACAACAGATTTTATTCCCAAACTGGGGTGGGGGGGGGATCTGCCCTACTTGACAGTGTTTGTAATTTACTTTTGGTGCACAGGTGTCCACATTGCAGTTTATAAAGGGCTTTGACACACATGCTTTCGTTTCTCTCCAGTGTTTTCAGAAGCCCAGTGTGTGTCCAAGATGGAGAGACAGAGAAGGCCTTACCCACCAGGGAGGGCCATGCACAGTCCTGAGGGGCTTACAGCACAAGACTCATCCCCATCTTGCAGATAAAATAGGACTAGAAAGGGCAAGAGTCATGCTGGAGACTGTGCAGCAAGGTTAGCTGTGGCTTTGCCAGGACTCACTATGTGACCATGGGTAAGGCTCTGCCTCACTGGGCCTCAGCTTTCCCATCTGTAAACCAGGAATAATGGCCCCTGGTGTGCTGTGAGGCAGAGCAAACAATTTATATGCTATAGAGTGGAGTCCATCTGTGAAGTGCCATTACTGGCCCTATTATTCCTATTTGCTCAGGAAAAATCTCAAAATGGGAGAGGGACCAGGTGGGTGAACACACTATTGTGGTTACAGATTACAAAGGATTACAGACGGCTGTGCTTGGTAATTCTGGGGGCATACCTGGGCTACAGTGAGAGAATTCTGGAGTAGCTCTGGGGTAATTCTAGAGTACTATTACTTTACTCTGGAGTATTCCATGAAGAGCACTTAGAAATTGCTAGAAAATTCCGGAGGCTTTCTTGGGGTACTGCTAAATAATTCTGGAGTATTGGTGGCACAATACCGTGAAACCTACCACAAAGAGTACTGGGACTTTCAGAGGCACTTCTAGAGCAGTACTGAGCAGTACTGAGACGTTAAAAGTAATTTTGGGGCCTTCCCGGAGAGCACTGGGGTGCATGGGGGGGTAGCCACCAAGCCGCGCCCGGCCCCGCTCGGCCCCGCTCCGCCTCCGCCTCCGCTCGCGTCAGGACGGGGCCCCGCCCCGGTCCCCGCCCAGCCCCGCCCCCGAACCCGCACCTGCGCAGAGCGCGCCGGCGTCCTCGTGGTGGCCGCAGTTGTGCACACCCCAGCCCAGGCTTAGGCAGGCTGCCAAGCGGGGCTCGCTGCCTTCGCAGTGCACGTTGTCCAGAAGGATGTGCCCCGTGCCATAACCGAAGAAGGCGTTGGTGGTGGCGGCCAGGGCCGCCCCACAGCCCAGTTGGCGGCAGACCACAGCAGCATCCGGCAGCCCCCAGTCGTCGTCGCAGACCGTGCCCCACAGGCCACCATGAAGGATCTCGACTCTGCCCTGACACGGGCCCACGCCCCCAACCAGGCGCACGCTGCCCTCACCTGGTTGGGGGGGCGGGCCGGGAGCATTTCCCACAGGGCTGTGCCTCCCCCACCAACAGTGCACCCAATCCAGTGCTTCCCCAATGCCTCAGGCCCTCCACGTACCCACAGTGCATGGGACCCCAGCACCTAAAACCAAGGAGAAGCTTCTCACCCAATTACCCGAAGGCACTTCCTCCTCACAGTCCCAGATTGGGGGAGGTTTGTGGGATCAGGACAAACTGGCTTTGACTGGGTCATTTTCTGCCTCAAACCAACCTTCCTGGTACCAGTCCACACTCTGCTGTTTCCTCACTTACTCCTGCAGTGAAAGGAGCCTCACCTTTCCAGGTGCATTGCCAACAATTCTTCCTCTAGGAAGCCCTCCCATATCTCTAGTAGGTGAGACCCTCTTCCTCCTCTGGGCTTCCTTGCTTATTTAATCTGTCCCTCTTTGGGGGCACTTTTCATTTTCTCGTTCTCCATCATTATCCATATTTCTGTACATATCTGAGTCTCCCATTGGATTAAGCTCCAGTCCTCACCTCTTTAGCAACTTGTGCTGGTTTTTAAGTTTATTTTGAGAGAGAGAGAGAGAGAGAGAGAGAGAGAGAGTGTGTGTGTGTGTGTGTGTGTGTGTGTATGCGGGAGGAGTGCAGAGAGAGAGAGAGAATCCCAAGCAGGTTCTGCACCAGGAGCACGGAGCCTGACACAGGGCTCAAACTCACAGTGAGGTCATGACCTGAGCCAAAACCAAGAGTCTTATGTGTAAATAATCAAGCCATCCAGGTGCCCTCAGCTGACTATTTTTTTTAAGTTTATTTATTTTGAGAGAAATAGCATGCAAGAGAGAGGAGCAGGAGAGAGGGAGAGACAGAATCCCAAGTAGGCTCTGCACTGTCAGCACAGAGCCCAACACTGGGCTCGAACCCACAAACCATGAGATCATGACGTGAGCCAAAATCAAGCGTTGGACCCTTAACCGATCGAGCCACCCAGGTGCCCCTGTGCTGACTTTTTTAAAAAATATATTTTTTAATATTTACTTTTGAAAGAGAGAGAGAGAGACAGAGAGGCAGAGTGTGAGCGGGGGAGGGGCAAAGAGAGAGGGAGGCACAGAACCCCAAGCAGGCTCCAGGCTCTGAGCTGTCTGCACAGCCGGACGTGGGGCTCGAACTCACAAACCGTGAGATCATGACCTGAGCTGAAGTCAGTCGGAGCCCCTGTGCTATTTTTAATCACCCCACAGGAATGCCTCCTCTTTCCCTAGCCAGACTGTGAGCAGCCTGGGGGCCTGCAAGGGGCAGGATGGGAAGGGAATGTCCCAGCTCACCCATCGGTAATCCCTCTCTTCCCACCATCAAAGGTAAGGGTGGCAGACTCCTCTCGGGGTCCTTCTCCTATGACCCAGGTGGTCCCCATGTTGCCCTTACTTACCTTTCCCATTCTGGGGAGTTGTAGGGGGCGCCCTACTGGTTAACACTTTCCTTGTTGGGGGCTGCGTGGGCAAGAATTCTGGGAAGGAAGCAGGGTGGAAGGGAGGAGGATACATGGATCTTTCTGTTCTTCATCCTCACACCGGATGTGTGAGCGGCAGGGCATGGACCCCTAAGGTACCTGCCATAGGGCCTCTGGCCGCACAAAGGGTCAAAGCCAGGAACCCTGGGGTATGAGAGGAGAAGGGGCCCCCTGAGTCCAGAAAGCAGTAGCTTCAGACAAGTTCTTTGTGTTCTTAGAGCAACATTACGTTACTTGAGAACTTATTAGAAATGCAAATTCCCAGGCCCCACCCCAGACCTGCAGAATCAGAAACTCTGGGATGGGGCCACCGTCTGTATTTTATTTAATGGGCCCACCAGGCGATTTTCTTGAAAACTAGAACCAATACTCTCAAGGTCAACGCCTCTCAGAGATGTCTGCTGCAGCTCCACACCAAACGGACCTCACTGCCAGTGTTGACCCCAATTGTTTGATTGTCAAATGGGGAGAGAGCTCGGCTGGAACCATCAAGGCCCCAAATAGAAGCAATAATGCTGGTTTTCCTTCAGCCAGGATCGCACAATGAGGCAGAAGGGCCGCTGGGACCCTGACAACGAGGCCGGGGCTCCTCCCCCACACCGTGCAATGCCACCTCTGGATTGTTCTTCTGCCATGCCAGTCCCTTCATTCGTCCATACAACCCTGCTGCCCGCCCTCCCGGGTCACAGGTCTCTGCTTACCATCGCACAGGACAGCCACATCTTCGTAGTGGAAGCAGTTGTGGACGCCCCAGCCTCGGCTGCCGCACTGGCTCAGCGCAGCTTCCTGCCCGCCACACTCCACGTTGTCCAGCAGGATGGGGCCTCGGCCTTGGCCGAAGGCAAGGGGCCGCGGCACGGGCAGTGCCAGGCCGCAGCCCAGCTGTCGACACACCACGTTGGCATCCACCACATCCCAGTCATCGTCACAGACGCTGCCCCAGGAGCCGCCGTGCAAGACCTCCAGGCGCCCCCGGCAGCGGCTCGGGCCCCCCACCAGCCTCAGCTCTGTGGAGAGGGTTGGGCTGGCACCAGGGGGATTGCTGGGCCTGATGTGCAGGACGCCCACCTTGCTGCGAAGCCGTGGGAGCCTTACGGTCAGTCCCTTCCGGGCCTTATTTCTCCCTCTCTGTAAAATGGGGAGACTAGCGCAATCTCTTTGGGGGCATCTAGAGTTACGGAGGGCTGGTTAGCTGTCATTCCCTGAGGCCTTCCGTCTGCTCATCTGGGTACCTGGGGGCAGGGCAGGGTATGGGCAGGAGGGGCAGGGGCACCTACCTGGAAAGGGCAGTGGGGTGGGCTGTAGGGCGCTGGCTGAAACAGAATGAGAAAAAGCATTGGTCCCTCTGCCCCCACCCTTGGCCAAGGGCCCTGGGAACAGCCTCCTCTCCCCCCATGATCCTTACCATCATCCCCCTCCTCTTCACTTTCCCTGCCTTTTCCAAGCTTCTCTTCTCTCTGCCTGCCTGAAACGGGTCTGTCTGCTTCTCCCCCTCCACTGTGAAGTGCCTCAAAGACTCCCCATTTCCTGCAGGAGTCCCAGATCCTGAGCTTTCTCTACAAAGCCTTTTAGCCAGCTTCCCCTCACTTCTTTTTTTATTTTTTGAAATATTTTATTTTTAAGTAATTTTTTTTAAAGTAGTCTTTACAGGGGGCGCCTGGGTGGCGCAGTCGGTTAAGCGTCTGACTTCAGCCAGGTCACGATCTTGCGGTCCGTGAGTTCGAGCCCCGCGTCAGGCTCTGGGCTGATGACTCAGAGCCTGGAGCCTGTTTCCGATTCTGTGTCTCCCTCTCTCTCTGCCCCTCCCCCGTTCATGCTCTGTCTCTCTCTGTCCCAAAAATAAATAAATGTTGAAAAAAAAATTTTTTAAGTAGTCTTTACAGCCAGCGTGGGGCTGGAACTCACAACCCCAAAATCAGGAGTTGCACGCTCCACCCGCTGAGCCAGCCAGGAGTCCCACCTTCCTTTACTTCTTAATTTCCCATCAGTCTTGTCTCTGGGTCTTTAACCCTGCAGTCTCGTCTACTTGAACAGTTCTGCTCGTTAGAGCCTGCAGATCCTTCTAGATATAGCTCGGAGTCCCTGCCCCTGGAGAGCCTTCCTGGAGCCTTCAGCTAGAAATGCGGTTTCCTCTCAATCTCTGGACACAGTCTCCAAGCCTTCTTGGGTCTTCTGCCTGGTGATGTGGCCCTGCCTGTCTGTGTGTTTCCTGGTATTACTCAGCAGACGGTCAGTAGCTCTGTCTTAAGTGCGCCAATTGGCTTTGGGATTTATTAGGATATCCCCCCAAAGATTTACCTATACAAGGCCTTCTGCTTCAGCTCTCATTATGTGTAAGTCAGGCACTGTGCCCATTGCTGTATGTGGCCTGGCTAACTTAACCAGTGGGACGCGTAAGGTAGGTAGGATTTCACGCATGAGGAAACTTCTGGTTTAGTGAAGTGAGGCCACTTGCTCAAGGCCACACAGAGAACAAAGAATAGAGCCGAGATTCCGACCCAAATAGCCACACTCTTCTTCAGCACACAATTCTGGGCACATGGCCTGGGGCGGGGTGGGGGGAGGTGGTAGGAAACAGGGAAACTGGCCCAGTGTGGGAAATTGACAAGCCCAGAAAAGCCCCTCACTTGTGCGCAGGGTGTGACGGTTCCCAGGCACCTTCATGTGCCTCCAGGCGCCTCATAGAATCCTTAGGACAATGCTCTGAGGTGTGTACTGGTGTGCCCATTTTACAGATGAAGAAACTGAGACTCGGTTGCTTCTTTCTCAAGTTAGCATGGCGCCTAGGTCATTTGGTTCTATGTATTCCACCAGCTGCCTTTCCAACAGCCATTGGTGAGCCCGCTCCTTTCCCTCCTTCCCTATTTCCGGTGTCCCCTAACCGCCCAGACCCTGTTTACGTCGAGCCCTCACCTCCAGCACCAAGCCCTCCACTTCCCCAACTCAGACAGACCCTTAGATTTCATCAACCCTGAACAAATGTCAGAGCTGAAAAGAACTTCGGAAACAATCTCATTCACAAACCATAATTTTACAGCTGGGAAAACCAAGAGCCAGACAAGGGAAGGGTCCGGGGTTGAGGGGGGAGGGCACTCACCCAGCGGCAAAAGGAGAAGGAAGGACAGGGCCGGGGGGAGGCGTGAAGAGCCAGTGCTCCAGTCTCCCAGCCCCCGCCCCCTGCTCTTCTCTGCTGGCTGGGGACCAATTCGCATCTCTGCTTCCTCGTGCATCCAGCCAGTGGATGGCCGTTCAGATGGTCCCGTCAAGGGGTGGTGGAGAAGTCACAGCTGGAACATCTGGAAATAAAGATCCTAAGTCACATCCTCCAGCTGGAAGGGGCTCAGCGAGAGCCTCAGGGGGATGTGACATTTCCGCTTGGATTCGGCATTCTGAGTGGAGGCGGAGGCGGCGGGGGCAACAGCTGGGCTCTCTGAGGGTAGAGCACAAGACTTAGGTCTGGCTGGAGCAGAGGGTGTGTGAGAGCCACGGCAGGAGACAAAGTTGGACTGCTGCCTGGTCCCAAAGCATCACAGGCCCGGAGTCTGTGCCGAGGGCTCAGGGTTTATCCTCCAGGGCACCGTATCCCAAAGCCTGGTGCTGGTGCCACTGGTGGTAATCCACATAATTTTAGTGGGAGATGAAAGGATGTCTACTATTGTCTTCTTTCTTTCTCTATTGAGAGAGGGGAGAGGAGGGGTAGAGAGAGAGGGAGAGAGAGAATCCCAAGCAGGCTCTGCACTGTCAGCGTGGAGCCTGGTGCAGGGCTTGAACCCACGAACCTCGAAACCCTGATCTGAGCCAAGATCATGTTCTGAGCCAAAATCATG